TTGCCTTTTGAGCTCAGCTGCAACGTTGTCATAACCTTCTGCCTTGAGCTGATAATACACCCACCGAACTTTGCCATCCAACTTGTACCATTTTATCCAATATGGACAGTAATCACTGTAAACAAACTCCATTGTGCGAGACAACTCTGCGCGATGCTGGGCTATTTGCGCTTCCTTGGAGTCAGTCCCGTGCCTGTATTTCATGCAATCTACGTAGCGCCAATACACCGCATTTTCGGCAGCACACCTTTGTTCGACCTTTTCAAGAACAGCTATCTCTGCCTTCTGTTTCTCTGCCCAAGCGAAATAATACTCTTTGGTGTCCCACTGTGTTTTTTTTGCCAAAGCCCATTTCTCATCCATTTCGTTATAAGCATCTGCCTCAGCTTGTACAGCGGCTTCATAACGCTTGGCTGCAGCACCATACTTCTTTAGCAATTCTAAATCTTTAGCAGAGTGCGGATCTTGTTTGGCTTCTTTCTGCAACTCAGCAACACTTTTACCAGTGTGAAGGGACAACAATTCTGATATCGGCGCCACACCCTTGATGCGTGAGTTAATTGTTTTGCCCAATTCCTCCGCATATGGTTCACCTTTGATTTTGAACTCATTCCACTCGGCTGGTTCATCAGAATACATTTCATTTCCCATATACCAGGCAACACGATCATTCCCTCTATTTCCCATATACCAGGCAACACGATCATCTTCTTGTTCCCATTTATTTAACGCTTCCACGGCTATATTGTGAGTAATGCCGTAGGTTTTACCATTGGCTTTTATACGATCCAAGAACACTTTCCTTGCCCTTTCAAGCTCATCTGCAATGTCGTCATAACCTTCTGCTTTCAACTGATAATACACCCACCAAGCTTTGCAATCCAACTTGTACCATTTTATCCAATATGGAGAGTCATCCATATAAACAAACTCCCTTGTGCGAGCCACCACTGCGCGATGCTGGGCTATTTGCGCTTCCTTGGAGTCACCACCAAGCCTGTATTTCACGCAATCTACTTTGAAGAAAGCTTCCGCATACTCAGCAGCATATCTTTCGTCAACCTTTTCAGCAAAAGCCATATATGCCCTCCAATATACTGCCTTAGCGAGATAATACTCTTTGGTACCATCCTGTGTTCCTTCTGCCAAAGCCTCTTTCTCATCCACTTCCCTCTTAGCAACTGTCTCGGTCCGTAGAGCGGCAACGTAACGCTCGAAAGCATCCCTGTGTTTTTTCTCTGACTCTTTCCATCGAAGACACTCGTCAACCCTTGCTTCCAGCTCCTCCGCGTATTGATTACCCTTGGGTTTGAACTCATTCCACTTGGCTAGTGCAGTGTCGTACTTTGGTTTTCCCTTATTCCAGGCTGCACGATCATCTTCTTGTTCCCATTTATTTAACGCTTCCACGGCCGCATTCCGGGCATTAGAAAGGGCTTCACCATTGGCTTTTATACGATTACGAAACACTTCTCTTGCCCTATCTAGCTCATCTGCAATGTTGTCATAACCTTCTGCTTTCAACTGATAATACACCAACCAAACTTTGCAATCCAACTTGTACCATTTTATCCAATATGGAGAACTCTCTCTGTAAACATACTTCATTGTGAGAGCCACCTCTGCACGATGCTGGGCTCTTTGCGCTTCCTTGGAGTCACCTCCGTGCCTGTATTTCATCCAATCTGTATAGCACGAATTTCTTTCAGATTCGGTAGCATATCTTTGTTCAACCTTTTCAGCAATAGCCATCTCTGCCTTCAACCACTCTGCCTTAGCGAGATAATACTCTTTGGTGCCATCATGTGTTCCTTCTGCCAAAGCCAGCTTCTCATCCCTTTCCTTCTTAGCAGCTGCCTCACCTTGTACGGCGGCTTCATAGCGCTTGGCTGCAGCACCATACTTCTTTAGCAATTCTAAACCTATAGCAGAGTGCGGATCTTGTTTAGCTTCTTTCTGCAACTCAGCAACACTTTTACCAGTGTGACCACACAACAATTCCGATATCGGCGCCACACCCTTGATGCGTGAGTTAATTGTTTTGCCCAATTCCTCCGCGTATTGATCACCCTTGATTTTGAACTCATTCCACTTGGCTAGTGCGGAGTCGTACTCTGGTTTGGCCTTATCCCAGGCGACACGATCATCTTCTTGTTCCCATTTATTTAACGCTTCCACGACCGCATTCCGGGCATTAGAGAGGGTTTCACCATTGGCTTTTATGCGATCACAAAACAATTTCCTTGACATATCAAGCTCATCTGCACTGTTGTCATAACCTTCTGCTTTCAACTGATAATACACCCACCAAGCTTTGCAATCCAACTTGTACCATTTTATCCAATATGGAGAGCTCTCTCTGTAAACATACTCCATTGTGTGAGCCAACTCTGCGCGATGCTGGGCTCTTTGCCCTTCCTTGGAGTCAGCACCGTGCCTGTATTTCACGCAATCTACTTTGAAGAAGGCTACCTCATACTCAGCACCACATCTTTGTTCAACCTTTTCAGTAAAAGCTATTTCTGCCTTGTATAATTCTGCCCAAGCGAGAAAATACTCTTTGGTGCCCTCCTGTGTTTCTTCTGCCAATGCCTCTTTCTCATCCACTTCCTTCTTAGCAGCTGCTTCGGCCTGTTTGGCAGCTTGGTAACGCTCGACGGCGACATTATATTTGGCCTGTAATTTAGATTCCGTGTTCATGGTTGAATTTTATAATAATGTAAATATCTACATGTGGAAGAGAGTGGGACACAAAATATTGAAACAGTCAACAATGTGGATTATAAGTGATTCAGTTACAGCAATTATGAGGAAAAACACAAACAAACAAGACTAGTAGAGTCAACAAATCATCAATCTCTAAACAGAACACAAAACACAAAAGAAAAATCACCATTGTTTTCTTTTTAATATAATCATTGTTATTATGATAAATATCCTGCTTAGCACCATTCATATGGTTATGGTCACTGTTACTACCATCCTGTACAGATGGAGATGCAACAGGTGGTGTTGGCGTTGAGGCACGTCCCTCCAATCCCGCGTACACAGTTCTCACCGGACGTGTACTCGCATCCTTCTTCCATTGGTGAAATAGTTCCTCTTCTCCACAAACACCGGCCGGCCGCACAGCGAACACCTTCAACTTCTGCCGTGTGCCATCAAGAAAGATGCCTCCAGCGAGTTTGTGGCACTATCCACACAGCCCACTTCAAACAACTCCCGCAGCATATCACAAGAAAGAGACACTTACCGTACAGCTTCTCCTCCTCGGTGAGATCCGTCTCCTTCACAAACTGCATGCCAGCAGTACTAGAAGTACCAGAAGAAGGAGCAGGAGCAGGAGGAGAAACATGACCTGGAGAAACAGAATAAACAGTGAAATGACGAGTCATTGTTGGTGGAGGACATCGAAGACACATAATATCACCTGGTCGCACATTATGGGCACTGTTCAAGATGGTCTCTGCAGAAGTTGTCATGAAACCACCAACAGAGAGAGAAGTGTAATCCTCCACTACACGCAACTTCTGTGGCTCCACAACAGTAGACATTGGAATACAAGAAGAAGAATAAGAAGAACAGGACGGGGCGTTATGCATATCTTGCAATAACTTCATACACAGACAACCACCAACACGAGGAAAACTAAGAGTTGTGTCAGTTAACACAGGTTTGTCATCCTCGTTATCATTAGCGTCACTCTTCTTGTTGTTCTCGTCACTTAACGTCACAGGTCTAATGGAAAGAGTGAGAATAATAAAAAGAAAAAGAAAGAGACACACATACTGAGTGGATACAGGACACAAATACTCACATTTACAAGAGAGAGGAGAAGCGGCAGAGAAAACCAACAAAAAAAAAAATATCCTGCTTGTATGATAATAATATGTCCCTTAATAGAAAAAAAAGAGAAGACCACAATAACCAAATAAGAGAGAGCCAAACAGACACACACAATACCCCATGGCTCTAGTTTATGTATATTAAATTACTTCACACACACAAATCTGTGTGTACTAGCAAGAGATGTATACCGTCAGTGAGCAGAACAGCCCAGTTTTCTGCACACACAACGGAAAAAGCAAGTAATGGAATTAATAAGAAAAAGAACACACACATAAAAGCAAAAGAAAAGAAATTCGAATTAAAAAAGAAAGATGGTAAACAGATTATTAATTTATTCACCCATAGGGGATGTACGCAATTATGATTATGGTAGTTTAACCATTATTATTATTTGCTCTCAGATGAGACCCACCGTTCAGTACACGGTAGCGGAGAACAGCACAGCCACAATTAGTAGCGGTGCTGCAGTGCGCATCCACACAGGACTGATACTGCTGTCAACATTAGCCTTATTCTTCACAGCGGAAGCGATGGTGTTAATCTCTGCGTTGGGTACAGTAACAGGAGATGGAGTGGTGGTTGGTGCTTCTGTGGTAGTGTTCTCTGGGTTTGGTGGATTAGTGGAATTGGTATCTTCTGATTCCGTTGAGGCAGTCGTACTTGCAGGAGATTGCTGGGTAAGATTAAGGTCGGCATGTGTAGTGTTATCAGATGTGTTACTCGGTGCTCTTTGATCACCTTGTGGCACCTCAACGTTATGAGATATTTTCGAAGATTCTGTTGGTTCCGGTTCACGTACTTCCTCCACGTGAGTATGACCACCATCTTGTGCCCCAGAACCCGCAGGTATACCGGAAGATGTCGGTGCTGGATCGCTCACGCTTGATTGAGAAACACGTGCATCCACTTCAGCCCCTTTCGATTGATTCCCCAGCTTCCCCTCATGCTTTCCTACGTCCAATGAAGAAGCAACTTCCTGTAGCTCTTGTGGATCTTTCTGTTCTTCCAATTTTTTCTCTTGTGCATCCCCTTTTACTTGACTTTTTGAGTTTGATTCACTGGAACGTTCCGATACTCCTTTAACAAACCCATGAGATGTCCAATTCGCACAACTTACTCCTCCAGCAGTTTCTTTACTTTTACTTAATGTAGAATTACAGGCTGCTGTTCCAAGAAAATCACTCCAATCAGCAGCAGCAGCCGTCATGGTATACCCGCAGGCGCAGCACAGCACAACGGCCAACAGACACATCACACGGCTCATCATCATCATGAGAGAAAGAAGGGTTTTGGTTTGCGTAAAAACACTGATCTAGAAAAAGAAAAACAATCAAAAAGCGAAAAAAAAATAATAACTGAAGTATCAAACATTTTAGGACACACAAATCGATTACCACTATGGAAACTCACATCGTGAAAGTAAAACCTACCAGTTAAAGAATGAAATACAGCGTAATAACCTTAGTAACAGTAAAAACAAAAAAAGAAGCCCACACTCACAAATATCTCAAAAAAGGCTGAACCACCCAAGCAAAATCATCAAGCAAATAAAAAGATATTAACCATTAGCCCATCTTATCCAGTAAACATAGAAATACACCAACTATGGGTGTAATTCTATATATGTGTATAAACGCAATTATAAATATAAATTCATCTGTTATTATTATTTCTTTTCTTTTTTCCCACTGCATAAAACAGTTCACCATCATCACAGTGCAAGCCCACAGACACACACAGAGAGAGTCTCCAAGAACACACACACACAATGGAGTAATAGCAATAATAATAATTATAGGATAAACACAGAGAGCAAAAACACACACAAAACACATTAACATTAAGAAACATAAAACAAAGAAAAAAAGCCCAACAGGTGGAATATTAGTTAGACTGTAGGGATTGCATGCAAAAGAAAATAAAACAAAGGATGACCTGAGTCACACCACCACACCATTACAATCAGCACACAAGAATACAGGCCAGTGTAACCACAATTAGTAGTGGCACACGCACCCACACAGAACTGCTGACACTGCTGCTGTCTGCATCACCCTTCTTGTTGTTTGCAGGCTCAGGGGGAAGTGTTGTTGTTGTTGTTGAGGTGGTGGTGGAGTTAGTTCTTTCTGTATTATCTGCAACCTCTTCTTGGGTACTTGTTGTTTCACTCCCTGCAGATGTGGCGCCGTTCTCTGTTGTTTCATTATCCCCCGCTCCGGCACTCCCCGTGGTTGAACTACTGGAAGAAGAAGAAGGTTGAGATGGTTCACTTCCTTGGCTAACCGCACTTCCACCCGCTGCATCGATGCCGCCCACTTCAGTTTGGTCTTCACGTGCAGCAGCAGCCTCATTGACATCTGCAGGAGGTGCAGCAGGTTCAGCAGGTGCTGGAACACCACCATTACCAGAAGCACCACGAGGTCCATCTTGACCTTGAGCTTCACGTTCCTCAGCTGCAGGCGCCTCAGGACCTTCAGGTTTTTTAGGAGGAGCATCCGGTACTTTTTTCTCAGGAACAACTTCTGGTGGTGCTTCTTGTGATACAGAAGGACAAGTATCAGTGGTAGTAGTTTCAGGAGGACTACCAGCAGGGCACTGAGAACCAGGAGCTTCACCAGCACCAGCACCAGGAGGGCACCCAGAAGTATCTTCAGTGCACTCAAGTTGGGCAAGAGGAGTACCTTGAAGAAGAACCTTTGTCTCACTCTCCGTATCAGGGACTTCAGCGAGGACGTGCACACACGCACATGAGAGCAGGAGAGCGAGGATACACAGCACGTGGCGCATCGTTATTATTTCCAATGGGTGCAGGTATTGTTGTGGATATCGTTGCACCTGTCTTACTTAAATGGAATGCACAATAAAGAAGAAAGTGAAATCGAAACAAATAAACATACAAGATTACAACAAATACTCACAGTGGAATATACAGAGAAGCAGCAACAACTGCACAGTAAAGCAACAAAAAGGAATAGCCTGCTTGTATTATAATATGTACCCCTTAATCGAAAAAAAAAGAACACCACACATTACCCAAATAAGTGAGAGAGCCAAACACACACAATACTCCATGGCTCTAGTTTATGTATTAAATTACTGCACACACACATCTGTGTGTACTAGCAAGAGATGTATACCGTCAGTGAGCAGAACAGCCCAGTATTCTGCTCACACACAACGGGAAAAGCAAGTAATGGAATTATTAGAAAAAGAACATACACACAAAAGTAAAAGAAAAGAAAAATAAATAAGAGAAAGCAAGTAAACAGATTATTAATTCACCCATGGGGGATGTACGCAATTATGATTATGTTAGTTTAACCATTATTATTATTTGACCTCATATGAGTCCCACTGTTCAGTACACAGTAGCGGAGAACAACATAGCCACAATTAGTAGTGGCACACGTACCCACACAGAACTGATACTGCTGCTGTCTGCATCACCCTTCTTGTTGTTTGTGGGTTCAGGAGGAAGTGTTGTTGTTGTGGTGGTGGTGGTGGTTGATTCCTCATCATTACTGGGTGTATTGTTAGTTTCGGAGTTCGGGGTCTCTGAGTTATTGCTTTCACCTGTACCGCCTTGTGGTTGAGAGTCCTGTGTGGTGGGCGTCTGTACCTGTTGAGAATGGTTATCCTGAGTCTCAGAATCACCGGTACCTGGCTGATTAGAAGAAGGGGATTGTGATTTATCTCGATTTCCCTCATTCTGTCCACCATTGCTGATCTGCGTGCCTCTCACGTGAACATTATCTATCTGCTCACTGTTATCCTGTGCATGACCACCACCACTCGTACTCTGCCTAGACAATGTTCCACCACCACTTGCCTGATCTACAGGACGCGGTGCAGGTGGGACATCTTCTGAAGTTACAGTTGGGGGTGAAGTGAGTTCAGAATCAGACAGTTGTGCGTGATTACCCGGCCTTTGTGCTTCTTTATGATCACTGTCTGCCTCCACTGTTACTTCTTGAGGTCTAGTAGTCCTTTTTTTCTCGTTCATTTCTTGCTCCATCTCCACCTTGGGGCCCTGCAAATCCACGTTTTGCCCTTTCTGCTCCTTTTCAGGAAGAAGACTACCACCACCAGGTACACTTACGACATGACCATTATCATGGCCTTTTGGGGCTTCCAATCCTGGCTTTGCCTCTGCAGCACCACGAGCCAGAGCCTCACCCGAAGCACCGAGAGCTCTACCATGACCTTCACCAAGAGCAGCAGGCTGTCCAAGAGCACGTTCTCTGGGATCTTGCTCTTCAACAGCACTCTCTGATGGCTCCACACCAGCCACAGCACCCACACAAACGATGCTCAACACCAAGTGAAGAAAAAACAGCACACGATTCATCATCAATACAGCAAGATCTGTTTTTCCTGTTTTAGGTCACTTAACTACAAAAAAAAAAGAAAAGGAAAAGAAAACAAAAACAAGTACCCAATACTAAAGAGACAGAGAGGCAAAAAACACGAAGCGCATAACACCAGTATCAATCACACAAAACAACGTCACCAGCATAAACAAAAAAAGAGTTCAATAAACGCTAACCACAAATACAGTGAAAAAACAAACGCAAGAAAAAAATGAAATTAAGATCAAGTCTAACGGATACACCAAACACAAAAATAAAACATATCGTTCGGTATGTTTGAGTTAATACGCAATTATGAATTTAAAGGTGTATCAGTTATTATTATTTTTTTCTGAAGAAAACAAACGACCAAACCGGTGCAGGTCAAAGCACAAAATGTCCAAGCACACCAAAAGCAAAGGAAAAGATATTAACCATTAGCCCAACGTACCCAGTAAACACACAGAAATACAGCAACTATGGGTGTAATTCTATATGTGTATATATACGCAATTATAAATATAAATTCATCTGTTATTATTTAATTCTTTTTCTATCATTGCAAAAAGCAGTTCATCATCATCATCACAGTGCAAGCCCAGGTGCACACACATAGAGAATCTCCAAGAACACACACACACACACACAATGGAGTAGCAATAATAATAATTATAGGATAAAAACACAGAGAACAAACACACACAAAACACATGAACATTAAGAAACAAAAAAGAAAAAATCCCAATAGGTGAAAGATTAGTTAGACTGTAGGGATGCATGCAAAAAAAGAAAAAAAGAAAACAAAGAATGACCTGAGTCACACCACCACCACCATCATTACAATCAGCCCACAAGAATACAGGCCAGTGTAACCACAATCAGTAGTGGTACACGCACCCACACAGAACTGCTGATACTGCTGCTGCTGTCTGCATCACCCTTCTTGTTGTTTATGGATTCAGGAGGAAGTGTTGTTGTGGTGGTGGTGGTAGTAGTTGTGGTGGTTGATTCTTCATTATGTGTTGTAGTATCATCCCCAGAATTTGCAGTTCCTGCAGATGATGGGTCATTCTCATTCGTTGCAGCATTAGAATTTTCACCGCCTTCAGTGGTTGAACCGTGAGAAGAGGATTGTTCTGCTGTTCCATTTGCATTTCCTGCACTTCCTCCAGATTGACTGTCACTCGAAGACACACCAACACTTCCATCAGTAGTAGGAGATTCAGAAGTACCAGGAGAGGGAGCTGCAGCAGCTTCTCTCCTGGTGGGATCAGTTCCTTCAGGTCGAGCTGCAGCGGAAGGATCCTGTGAGTCTTGTACAACATTGCCCGTCTCAGTCCTTTGTGCTGTCTCGGGTAGATGTTGAGTGCCTCCACCATTACCTCTTCCTCCTCCAGATGTATTTGTAGTATCACGACATTGTTGATTAGAAACTTCAGTACCAGCAGAGCATTCAGCAGCAGCTTCACCAGGACGATCAGCAGAAGCAGAAGCAGGAGCAGAAGGACCAACAATACTAGGAGGACGAGGAGCACCACCATCACCACCATGTCCAGCTTCCACATCAGAAGGATTACAATTACCAGAAGAATCAGTGGTACCATTAGTGCAACTAACAGGAGTACCTTGAGCAACAGGAGAACCTTGAAGAAGAATCTTTGTCTCACTCTCCGTATCAGGGACTTGGTCGGAAAGATCGGCGGCAGGCACTTCTTCAGCGAGGACGTGCACACACGCACATGAGAGCAGGAGAGCGAGGATACACAGCACGTAGCGCATCATTATCATTGATCTTCCTTTTCCTGTTGTTTTTGTTGGCTTCCTTGTCACTTGAGGTCGCAAGATCTACGAAGGGAGTATGGAAAAAAGTAAAAAAGAGAGAGAGACACAGAGAGTGGATGCAGTACAACAAATACTCACATTGGAAAAGAGAGAGAGAGAGAGAGAGAGAGCAGCAGTGACTGCACAGTAAAGCAAGAAAAAGGAATATCCAGAATGTAGTGATATTATGTACCCCTTAATAGAAAAAGAAAATGAAAACACCAGACAATACCCAAATAATAGAGAGAGCCAAACACACACACAACACCCCATGGCTCTAGTTTATTTATATTAAATTACCGCACACACACATCTGCGTGTACTAGCAAGAGATGTATACCGTCAGTGAGCAGAACAGCCCAGTTTTCTGCACACACAACGGAAAAAGCAAATAATGAAATTAGTAGAAAAAGAACACACACACACAAAGGAAAAAGAAATCCCAATTGAAAGAGAAAGCTGGTAAACAGATTATTAATTTATTCACCCATGGGGGATGTACGCAATTATGATTATGTTGGTTTAACCATTATTATTATTATTATTATTATTATTATTATTATTATTATTATTATTATTATTATTATTATTATTTGTCCTCAGATGAGTCCCACCATTCAGTACACAGTAACGGAGAACAACACAGCAACAATTAGTAGCGGCACACGTACCCACAGAGAACTGCTGATACTGCTGCTGTCAACATTACCCTTGTTCTGCATATTAGAGGCAATACTGCTGATCCCTGGGACTGCCTTGGGTGTAGAAGTGGTATTGGTTCCTTCTGTGTCTGCTGTCGCACTCACACTCGTGGCCGCGCTAGAATTACCGTCACCTGTACTGTTGGTAGTGGAAGATGTTGAAATTGTGCTGCTCTCTGCAGGTACACTCGCAGAAGAACTCGTTGATGTTGTAGGTTGTGCTGGAGTATTCAATGTCTCTGGGACAACTACTGCTTTTTCACCAGATTGGGGTCCAGCCACTGTGGTTGTTCCTGGTCCACTACTATCCCCAGCACCAGTGTTCACTGTAGGTGAAAGAGAAGAGGAGTCACCTGTATTAAGTGATACTTGTTGTTTTTCTTGTTTTTGTTGGTCAATACGAGTTAGACCACTGGGAGGTTCCACAACTTGAAGATGGTCTACCTCAGGAGTTAATTTCTTCCTTTCGTCCTCAACAGAGTCATTGCGCACATCCTCCTCACTGGATAATACAGTACCATCCAATTTACGATCCTCAGCAACCGGATGTTCCTTAGAGATAACTTTTCCTTCTCCCAAATTATTTATTCCAGTGCTCTCTTGAACATGGGTAACACTCTTTCGAGATGATTCAACAGGCGGCAAAGGCTCACTCAAAAAATCACTTCCATCGGGTTTGCGATACCTTAAAAGATGACCACCACCAAACGCCATCGCCGTCGATGATTCGTCAGCACGAGGAACAACAGCAGTAGTAGCAGCAGCAGCCATGGTATACCCGCAGGCGCAGCACAGCACAACGGCCAACACACACATCACACGGCGTATCATCATCATCATGAGAGAGACAAGGGTTTGTTTCACGTTAAAACACTGATCTAGAAAGAAAGACAATAAAAAAGTAAAAAAAGAAAATAAATGAAGTATCAAACATGTTAGGACACACAAATCGATTACCACTATGGGAACTCACATCGACAAAGTAAAACCTACCATTTAAAGAATGCAATACAGCCCAATAACCTCAGTAAGAGTAAAAGCAAAAAAAAAAGCCCATACTCAGAAATATTTCAAAAAAAGGGTGAACCGCCCCAGCAAAAACATCAAAAAAACGAACAAACAAACCGTTAGACCAATTTACCCAGTAAACACAGAAATATACACCAACTATGGGTATAAGTCTATATGTGTGTATGTATACGCAATTATAAATATAAATTCATCTGTTATTATTATTATTTCCTTTTTCCACTGCAAAAAACAGTTCATCATCGTTATCATCATAGTGCAAAGCCCAGGCAAACACAGAGTGAGTCTCCAAGAACACACACACACACACAATGGAGTAGCAATAATAATAATTATAGGATAAACGTAGAGAGTAAAAACACACACAAAACACATATTAACATTAAGAAACAAAAAAAAGAAGAAAATCCCAACAGGTGGAAGATTAGTTAGACTGTAGGGATGTATGCAAGAAAAGAAAAAGAAAACAAAGGATGACCTGAGTCACACCACCACACCGCCATTACAATCAGCACACAAGAATACAAGCTAGTGTAACCACAATCAGTAGTGGTACACGCACCCACACAGAACTGCTGATACTGCTGCTGCTGTCTGCATCACCCTTCACATTTGGCATTATGTTGCTATTGCTGATTTCAGGGACAGTAGGAATTGTAGTGGTAGTAGTGGTTGTAGTGTTTTCTGTATTATCTGCATCACTTGGGTTATTGGATGACTCACTCCCTGCAGGTGTACTGCCACCCCCATCGTTTGCAGTACCAGAACCATTGGCAGTCTCTGTGTCTGAAGATTCGGGAGAAGGAGAAGTGGGTTGTGCTGCTGCTGTACTCTCCGCGTTGACTGCACCTTCACCTGCTGGATTGTTGACGTTGGCTCCAGTTTGACCTCCAGATGGAGACGAACCGTCATTCCCTTCCACAGCAGCACCAGCAGCAATAGATGAAGGAGGTTCAGCAATAGGAGGAGAAGGAACAGGAGGTGAAGGAGCAGCAGGATGAGCAGAACCATTACTACTGCCAGCAGGAGAAGCATTAGAAGGACGCTGATTAGCACAATATTGAGGAATATTAAGAGGACCATTAAGAGTATTTCTAGCATTTTCTTCATCAGGAGGACGACAATCACCATCACCAGAGTTAGAAGATGCAGAAGAATGTTCATGCCCTCCAGCCTCATCAGCCGCCAAGCAAACAGAGGCAACACTCATAATTAGAGCCAGAAAATACAATACACGTCGCACCTGCATCTTGACAAAGAAATATTCTTTTAGTTCTTTGTGGGTAGTTAACCTGGACGAAGGAAAAAAAGAAATCGTATAGAAAAAAACAACGAAATAGAGAAACACAGACAGAACGAGAGAAGAAGATTGGAAAAATAAACAAACAGAAGTCATAAGAAAAACACAAACAAATCAACATAAATAATAAGGAAAACTTTATAGTGGTAACTTGGATAATTAAAAAGCAAAACCAACGTATCCAGTAAATACACAAACCACCGCAAACACCAGTCATGCTTAAGTTCCTATGCAATTAAGAATATAAATGCTTCATTTATTAGTTTTATTAAATTCCCAGAGCAAATCATCATCAGAGAAGCAGGGCACAAAACACACTACCACCCCAGCAAACAATAAGCAAACAAACAAAAAAGATATTAACCATTAGCCCAATTTACCAGTAAAAACACAGAAATATACACCAAATATGGCTGTAATTCTATATGTGTGTATATACAAGCCATTATAAATATAAATTCATCTGTTATTATTATTTCTTTTTCCTCTCCCTGCAAAAAGCAGTTCATCATCATCATAGTGCAAGCCCAGGCACACACACAGAGAGTCTCCAAGAACACACACACACAATGGAGTAGCAATAATAATAATTATAGGATAAACACACAGAGAGCAAAAACACACAAAACACATTAACATTAAGAAACAAAA